CTTTCAACCAAATCGCCTGGGATAATATAACCCGAACAATAGGATAATCCAGCAAGTATGGTTTGAATAGGTCATTACGATATGCAAACTCGATTATTATGTCAAAGTAGGAGCTACATTCGGGCTGTACTATCTTTTATATATGTCACTGTTACACGGAATGCCACTCATTTGTTAAATCAGACACATATTATGCAGTATACTCGTAAGTGTATGTGCCGGTTTTGTTTCTTCATTTACTGCTTTCACAACTATTATGAAACACTCATTACTTCATAAACAGAAATACTGCGCTATGTTATCGCCTAGACATAAACAAACGAAAAATGGCAATAAACAAAACAAGTAGTTCATAATTAATTAACAGTAATTAAGGATTATTGTCAGAATGGGGATTTGTGGAGATTGTAGTAATTTTTAATAGTTGAATTAATGAGTTGGTTTAAGCTAGACCACCATTGAAAACCTGGAAGCACTGATAATAATCATATGCTCACTAATGACTAGCTTCAAGATGGATTTCCAGGAGTTCTAGCGAGAAGCCGTAACTAGTGGAGTCCGATTCGTGTCGGGCAAAAACTGTTATCCACTTCAGACAATGGATGAAGGGTTGTGCAAGATCATCAATCGACCGAAGTTAGACATTAACACCGTTAGATGCCAGCTCAGTGGTCTAGAGGCTAAACTTCCGCGCGCAAAACATATGGTCCCGGGTTCGAGTCTCACATACAGGATCGTAGCTGCGCAGTGTTGAGGAGTCCCATACTAGAACGAAGCAGCCATCCAGTGCTTCCAAGTTTTCAGTAGTGGTCTAGCTTAGATTGACTTATCCAGTTCGACGGAAGCTCACGATAAAGAGAAATATAAAATTAGAATGATGCAAATGATTAAATAATTTTATACAACAGAACTATAAACAATAACCATCCATCAAAATAATCCGATAAGTTTCATTAACGATAATGTAAATTGTTTACATCAATAATTAAAATGTTAAAATTATCAGTTGTATATTGTCTATTTTTTATTTATTTATTTAAACACATAAACATTGGTACAAAGAGGCACCAAACAGATATGCGCCACATAAATCATCCAATTTGTGTGAGGGCTAGGATACTGCCTGGGTGCCCAAACCAAAGCAGGTGGTTTTCTTAGGGGGCCACACCCGGAGCCTTCAACCTAAAGATCCGATCCACAAGGCAGTAGAACAACGTCAGCAGATGCAGTCTGATGGTAGCCAGTGACCAACGATTGGTTCATAAACCAGTTGTTCCCTCAGGATCCTGGAGCCCATGTTCAGGATTGGTTTGGAATCACGGTTTTCCAACTTCCCTAAGTGGACTCTCCGTGTCCACCAAGCCCGCTTAAAACGCCAGATATTCACTTTTCGTCCACTCAATTTCGTAAACAATACCCACGCCGCGAGAAGGCAGTGAGTCTATTTAATTTCATAAATTATTTACACATTTAATATAAATATAATCATGATTAAATAATCTAGAATGTGGTATAGTGTGGTCTTTATATGAACTAATGATTCATTTGTACTTGATGACTGTTTGATTTCGAATTTTAAATACAATACGTTCGTTCGTGGTTAGCTAGTTCTTCTTGGTCTAAATTGTGTTATTTCTGAGATTCTTAGTTTGTATAATAATTCAAATACTTGTAATCATCACAAATACTTTATTAGAGACATAACTGATAAGGTGGATATTGATGAATCTTCCATTTCAGAGGAAAGAAAAACCCTGTAGACTCTGTCTATACGCCTTAAATAGTTTAATTGAAACAGAATATGTATACAATATACGTATATATTATGCAAGATGACTTTAAGACAAAAACTGGTAAGAATCCCCACTTGACAGAGATTGCATGCTACTTGAAGTCATATTCTAAATAAGTACAGCTATGGAGAAACAAATAGAAACAGGGTATAGAATGCATGAAATAATATAAAAATTAGTATCACCAAACGTTTGTGGAGACTACTGAATACTATTGACATCACGGATCTACTTAAGCTAGACATCCGTTGAAAACCAGAAGGCACTGGATAGCTGTTTCATCCTAGTGGGAGATTCCTCAGAAGCTCACATCCATGACCCCATAGAGGATCGAACCCATGATCTTTGATCTTGTGGCCAACACCTGACCTCTAGACCAAGAAGCCGAGATCTATTGATGTACAAGTGGTCTAGAAGTTAAGCGTCCCTTCGCGAAGCCGGTTCAATCCCTAGTTTCAGGATCATGGATGCACATACCTGAGAAGTCCGACTCTAGGACGAAACGGCTTCCCAGTGATTTCAGGTTCCAATGGTTGTCTTAGGTTTATTCGCAATCTTAACAAAATTCAACAATCTTCACAACCCCAACATTGATGCCTATTTATATTTCACTACCAACTCATGCCTAGTCAATTCATTAATGCGTTGGATGATTGCCAACCTATTAATGCTACTACTATGCACTGCCCGACTTCAAATCTATTCAGTTTAAAGGGTTTTGTGAAAGCTAGAGAGTAATGGAAGGTCGTTTTGTTCAATTATAGGACTCCTCAACAATCCTTTCTACGCTTTAGATAATCTTCGATAGAAGTACTGAAATGTTTGCATACTCTTAGCAATACATGATGCTATAATGATGATTTACCAATAGACAATATCAATATTTGAGTCTCTATTAAATAAAAAAACGTACGTACATGCGCAGATATGTTAGGTGGTTAGAGGTAGTCAGGAGAAAACCCTGCTTAAACCTGGCTTCTTTGAAGATGGTGATCATCAAGAAAACGTACCTGCAACCTTGAAGGGATTGATGTTCACTGGCGGATTCGAAATAAGAGTGATTAATCAACATAAATGTCACAATTCTACAACACAGGTCAATCACCTCCCGAATAGCTCAGTGGTAATGTCCCAAACAGTAAAAAAAATGCATAACGCAGGTTCAAATCCACCAAATAAAATCAGTTCCATGAGATCGCAAACACTCATTGTTGACGATTACCAACTAACATGAAACAGAGGTTTAGTGTTTTCTGGTAAATACCTCTAACCACTTTACATCTCATCAACATTGTGCTCGCGATATTGTACGATATAAGTTGTTGGTCACATAAGGATTTGATCAATAGAATTCGATTGTCATTTAGGATTAAACAAACATAATATTGGTCATTATACTCAGAGATAACAAAAAGAGTCCTTCTAATCAATGTATTTAATTAATTATTTATTATAATTATCGATTATCACTTACCGGCAAATTCACAGAAATGATTCCCAATATCAAATGCTGCATGATTAAATCCACAATATTCAAAATCAATAAAGTGGACTGATTCTTTTTTATGACAAATAAAGAAAAGGTAAACACACAGAGAGAGAGAGAAAAATAGAAATGTTAAACAACATTCTATCTATAACATTTTAATATAAGAAAAAACAACATTATTCTTATGGAAAAGCAAGAATGAATGAGATTTTATTTAAATATGGCTTCAGGAGGTAATTCCTGGAGTTCTAATGAGAAGCAGTGAACAGTGAAGCTCAACCGGGTCTGTTGTGAGATAGTAACTCACTGAAGACACTAGTGGACGGTGACGCAATTTCGTGGGTTGATTGAAGTTAGACATTAACACCGTCGGCTGGCGGCTCAGTGGTCTAGGGGTTAAGCGTTCGCGTGCGAGACCGATAGGTCCTGGGTTGGGATCTCGCGAGGCGGGATCGTGGATGCCCGCTTCTGAGGAACAGCACACCAAAACGAAACGGTCGTCCAGTGCTTCCAGGCTTTCCATGGTGGTCTAGCTTCAATTGATTCATGGTCGCAACTATTGAAATATGTAGTTGCCTATTTATATCCTCTTGTGAAGTACGCTACTACATGGTTACATAATGTCTACTCATTCCACACGCATATCTAAACACTACGCTTTATGGTTATCTAAGAATAAAGGAAAATTAGTCATCAGCTTATGAGTTAAAGAAGATAGGGAGAATGAATGCAACTATGCCACTGTGACTGATTTGTACTATGTTGCCAAAAGTTTTAAACCATTGATAAATGCTATTGTGAAGGCAACAATGCGGAAGTCTGAAAATACCGACATGTTTCAGATAAGCAATCAATGAGTTTATAATGTGATACAATGTCTTTAACATCCCGGCCCTAGCTTGTTGCCAACTTAATCATATGTCAGCTAGCACTTTACGTCTAGATAGAAGAGGTCAGAGAATAAGAGATGACAAATGTGATTACTGAACTGGGACTTAACAAATATACGGAACATCCTGGTGGTTCTTCGACTAAAGCATGAACAAATTTTAGATTCATTGGTTTCATATGATCTTTACGTAACACTGTTTGTCAGTAATCGACTGATACATTACATGAGAATGAGTTGTTTGGTTGTGTACGAACAATTCATTACATTCGGTAGTAATATCATGTAAGTTCTGTTGAACTTCAGTGGTGTTTTAGGGTGCAGCAATAGTAATCTAACCAATGCCACATTATTGAAACACCAGTTTCGGTGACCCGACTAAGTGCTACGAATCCTATCCAAACAGCTTCCCCCATCAGGCATTATTTTCCTAGGCCAGTTTACCATATAGATTACACCTCGTGGAGGAGCATAGGCCAACCACCAGTACTCTCCATCCAACCTAGCATTTAGTCAATTGCAAATACATTTCAGTCCTACAAGATGTAAGTTGCGGCCCAGATATCTCAGTGGCAACGTCTCTGACTGTGAGGATGGGTGACACGAGATTGAACCCGTCTGGGAGTATCAGTTCCCTCAAGATTACAAGCACAACTTGCTGACGATTGTCAAATAGCACGGAACGTGGGTCCAGGGCTTCCTCTCGATTATCTATAACCAGCACCTTACATCTCAATATAGTGACCGTGATGTCGAGTCACCTAGACTAGTGACCACATTGCAACTTGGTCAGTGGAATTCGATCTGTGCTAAAAAGAAACCTGACAAATGAAATTGGTCACGACTCAGTGATCAATCAATTGTAAATGATGTGAATTTCGTAGCTATCTTACTAACTGAAATTCATCTTTCAAATAGCATTAACGTTCATCCCATTATTGACTATACTTCGCTTCCTTTTTCTATTTCTACTGGTTAGCGTTTTTAGCGAGTTAGTTTTCTACGGGATGGGGTCGTTAACCCCATGCCCGACTCTCCTCCTTTATCCGGGTTCGGGACCGGCAGTAGCCCCAGGACGTTCCAGGCGGAGTGTTTTATTTCTACTAAAGAAATCATAAGATTACAAAGAGCAAGAACAAGATTCTAGCAGAATAGCATGAATTCATTTTATTTCGTAGGTTCTCGTCAGCTGCTTACAACCTGTGATATTTAAAAATCATAATTGCATAATGATTTAAATTGCTTACAGAATATTGTAATATATACCTAATGTGAAAGAATATTCTACAACATTAATTGTGATAACAGTTCAAAAATCGGTTAGAAACAATTGATTACATAATGAATAAACATTGATAGGAATATAGTGATTAGAGTTCAGTTGAAAGATTATTAATTTGAAAGATAGTTGAAAAAATAAATTAGAACCAATGATGTAATAAATGAAAAAAATTTTAAGGTCAGTGAAGGAATATTTGTCACCAGGGTAAGGAAAGATTAACCACCGTCTCCTTTTGAATACATAGGTCAGGTTTTTGTCGCCTGATGGCAATGGCTTCAGCAAACTTCAGAAGACTGGAGTTTGGCTGCTTACTAATCACCCTAAAGGATTGTAAGGTATCTACCTGATGTCCTGTATCAAGGAGATGTTTGGTGATCGCACTGTTCAGAGTCTTTCTTTCCCTTGTTCTAAGACTTTTTGGAACATGTTCAAAGAATCTAAGATATGCTCTCCTTTCAGTTCGGCCGATGTAGCTGCTTTGGCAGGTACACGTAAATTTATAAATACAGTTGGCGGTAACATGAAAGGGTTGCTTGTCGATCTTTGATTGGGTTATTGAACATGTTGTTTTATAGAGAATTAAAAGTTTAGCAGCCGGATAAGTTCTGGCTAGCGCTGTATTCAGTCTCTTGTTGATAATTTGTGCGACGTCATCACCTTTAAAGTTAAGATTTATATATACTGGTTTTTTATTGACCATAGTTATTTCCGTCTTCTTTTCTGGCCTTTTATATTTGTCAAATTTTTGTGGAAAGTTGTCTTTTAGGCATTTTTCTACGTTCATTAATTCTTCTTCCAGTTTGTCGGTGGTGCATATCTTTTCTGCCCTGTAAAATAGTGTTTTAACCAACGCCTTCTTGTAACTAATGGACAAAACTATAAATTCGGTAGGGCCATCCATTACTTTTCTATAATTGAACGTTGAACGTCCCTGGCAACATCAAGAAAGTGGAACATATCGTTCTGTTCGTGCTCCATAGTAAAATGTATGTTATTATGAGCGTTATTGAAGAGTTTGAGCAGGCGGATTGCATGTTGTTTATTATTACAGATAATAAATGTGTCGTCCACATATCTTGAGTATTCCGTTGTTTCACTAATTGCCTGTTTAAGTATCGTGTTCTCAAGATACCCCATAAAAATATCTGCCATAATTGGACCTAGTGGACTACCCATTGCTACGCCATCGACTAGGCGATATATGGTGTTGTTAAATTGGAATTGAACATCTGTTGTACATATTAGTAGTAGTTTTTTGAATTCTGGGCTGGAAGGTAGGAGATCTTCATTCTGACAAATTATATCAATAGTTTCAAAAAGTGGTATATTGGTGAACAAGGATGTTACATCAAAAGAGACCATGAACTTGTCGTTAACATTCGTATGATTTAGTCTTTCAGCAAACTGGAATGAATCTCTTAACGTATATGTTGCTAACTACGACGAACCGGTTCTAGTTTTTCTGCTAACCAGCGTGCGACTTTATGATATGGTGAGTTGATCATTGATAAGATAGGTCTAAGAGGAACGTCATGTTTGTGAACTTTTGGTAAGCCATACATATGAGGTAGACGTGAACCACGTGGTTTTAGATCGTTGTAAGTAGAATTATCAATCATTTTCTTTTTTAGGAGTTCTCTAAGCATGCCTGTGATTCGTTTTTCTGTTGAATCAGTCAAATCTTTTTTGGATTTATCTACTTTGAACCTCAGTTGGTCGTCGAGGTTTGACTTCATCTTAGTGACATAATCAGCTGTATTCAATAAGACAACACCTGAACCTTTATCCGGTTTTGATAAGTTATAGATAAACTTCGAAGGGTTTTCCGGAAACCCAAAACATAGTTGTTCTCTTATCAGAGTTTTCGATAGAGATTTATGGAAATCCTTGCAAACCTTGATTTGAAGATCACGAATAAAGTTCATGAATTTTATTCGACATACGATGTTTAGATCATTAACGGCTTTACCAAAAGCACCGGCCTCACTCCTTAGTAGAACAAGGGAAAGAAAGACTCTGAACAGTGCGATCACCAAACATCTCCTTGATACAGGACATCAGGTAGATACCTTACAATCCTTTAGGGTGATTAGTAAGCAGCCAAACTCCAGTCTTCTGAAGTTTGCTGAAGCCATTGCCATCAGGCGACAAAAACCTGACCTATGTATTCAAAAGGAGACGGTGGTTAATCTTTCCTTACCCTGGTGACAAATATTCCTTCACTGAACCTTAAAATTTTGTTTTTTCCTCTTTTTTTAAATCCATTATGCAATTATGATTTTTAAATATCACAGGTTGTAAGCAGCTGACGAGAACCTACGAAATAAAATGAATTCATGCTATTCTGCTAGAATCTTTGTTCTTGCTCTTTTCAAAATGATAAAGGGAACTATGTGTATGAAATCATAAGATTACTAAAATTTTGTTAACAATGCTAAAACCTTACTAGAAACAATAACCATGAATTCCTTTTTTCTAAAACCACTTGGAGAACTACAGCCAGCATCAAAGAAGTACAGGTATTTATAAACAGTCGTCTACGCAACATACTCCAGACCCATCAGAAACGATCTACTAAGGGAAAGGATAAACCAACTCCCAGGTGAACAGGGAATCCAGAAAGGATTCTGGAAATGAATAGGATACACATTATGGAAATCACCAAACTGCATCACGAAGCAATCCCTAACATGGAATCATCAAGCATGGAGGAAAAGAGATAGACCAAAGAATACGTTGTGTCGGGAATTGGAGGCAGACACCGAAACAATGAACAGTGCTTGGCGAGAACTGGAAATGAGAACCCGTGACAGAGTTGGAATCCTTGTTGGTGGCCTGTGCTTCATGAGAGGCAACAGGCGTAATCAAGTAAATAAAACATACTAATCCAAAAAATCTTTCCACTTCAATGATGACGTTCAGCGTTAAATATGACTATTAATACTACTAAAATGCAACAAAAAAAGGGTATTTCAACTTACTTTCATCCGGAGGCATGACAATATTTCCAGCTAATAAGTCATTATGACATAGGACAACTGGGGAAATAGGATTTTTAAGTAATTTCTCTAAATATGCCACTTCATTCAAGAGGGCTGTTTTTGAAGGAAACTCATTTTTAAGTCTAAAACAAGAAAAAAAAATCTTTATTACGATTTAATCATATGGTTCCTATATTGACGGTATTTTAATGATGAAAGCATTCCGTATGCTGTAGGTCCCAAGCATGCTCGATCTTCATTTTGCAAAACCGTGTTAGTACTAATTATCAACATGCAAACGATGTGTAATTCAATCCCGAGTAGTTTAGTCTGGCTCTTGGTAGATAAGTTACATTTGGTCAGGCATTTTAGATATATTAATGTATGCATTTTGAATCATAACTGAATAAAATACAGTAGAGAATTAATACACCTTCTATCTCCAACTTCTAATATGATGATAGGTTAGAAGGAGCTCGAAGACCAATAAGCGTTAAGGTTTTGGCCGTTGTTCATTGATCGATGTGTCAGTTATTAAATAAAAGGTCACTGATCCTACTAACAATATAAATAGACTGATCAATAGTTGAACCAGATAATACAACTGCTGCCGTAATAACGGCTAAACCACATTGGACCTAATACAATCCAGGTCTCTATTCCTCCATTCTTTGTTGCATTGTATTCATTCATCTGTTTAAGTAATTGTTATCTTTTACGATTTTATTCAGTTCCGATGTACACTTTCTATGATACACCGAACCCACTATTAAATTGAGAGGAGTGACATAAATAAGAATGGTTAATTCCCAAATCGAACTGTAATGTACAGAAATTGTAGTTATATTGGTATATATGATTGTCTTTCTGATTCAGACAGGAACATGTAGGCTGAGACTTTGAGAAAGTCCCTGATTGACTCACTACAATAAAGTAACTCGTTTATAATGTCTCGCCAATCACTTAGCCTCGAAATGATATGCGATCACGGATACATGATATGCATATACTTGCCCATTCTATCAGTGCCATATAAGTGAATAATTACAGTGGATAATTAAGTTCCACAGGTTGTTAAATACTAACTGAATCAATGACGTTCTATAAAGTTAAAATAATAGTGGGCGTACTTAATATAAAACGGTTGAAAGCAATTGTCAGGAAGTCCAGATGGATCTTTGTTTCGTACTGGTCGTAACTTACCCATAAACAGCATCTGGATGGAAGTAATGATTCTTGCAGGATTTGGGCACGTGTCATTGTATCACAGTTAGAGGTGTTCGCATTAGTTATCATGGCAAGCATAGTTAATTAGATAAACTACAATTTAAACTCTTTTTATAGGGGAGGACCGGTAACGTCATAGATTTCAGTAAAGTAGATTATGAAGGCTTCGAATGTTTGGATTACACTGATCAATACTAGTGCTAAAACTCATCATTGTTATGTAGTAGGTTACCCTGATTCTTAGTGGCCGAGAGATTTTGTCTAACCAGCTGATTGGATACATAATGACTATGAAAAAAATTAGAATGGCAACTAGACACAGAAACCAAAAAAATAACCGAACCTTCTCTATTAAGCCGTTTTTAAGTAGATGTTGATATGTTGAGCAAGAATTAAGCTTCATGGTGATTGACATGGCGAGTATAAACATGTAAAATATATATGCTCATATGTCATTTTTAATGCAAACACCAGGTGCGGAATTGTAAATGAGGCACGCAATTGGGGGAAGTCGACTTTGCACTTAATCAAGGTGTCTACGATTTATATACATTATAATTCTTCGCATTGATTTCATTCTTGTTAGTAAACCATTGAAAGTGTACATCGAAATTGAATGGGATCGCAATACACAATATACATAGTCAGGTCTTAATTTACTGATATTTGGATAGGATCTACGAATTCTATATCTCGTAATCCATTGTCTGTTAATTGAGTTATACTTATGGTTATTTTTATCTTTAATATTTTATGCATCAAAGCAAGTTATTACATTATCAGAGTCTGACCAAAGACCTTGGATCTCAGGCGCAAATGCTTTACCTCTAGACTACTGGCTGGCCATCCAATAGTGTTAAAAACTAACTTTAAACAATTCATGTGGTTGCTAGTGAAAAGCTTCAAGGTGTGATTTCTGGAGTTTTAGAGAAAATCTGTGATAAATGGAGTTGTCCACCATATGCAATTGATAAAGATTGCAAAACTAAACTGACTGATTGAAGCTAGACAATAACAACGTCCGATGACGACTCAGAGGTTTAGAGGTTAGGAGTTCGCTTCCCAAGTAGAAGATGTTCGGTCCGATTCCTAGATGTGTATCAAGAAAGTGCACTGCTAAGGAATCCCATATCAGGACAAAACAGCTGTCTAGTGCTCTCAGATTTTCATTAGTGTTCCAATTGACATCAGTTCGTAGTTTAAGATAATGAAAATTCTACAATCTCCACAATCTTCCTGTACAAGTTATATAAAACTAGCCCATGTAGCGCAAATAATAAAATCATAATCCATAGTAATAACAATCAAAAGACAGTTGTAATGATAAAAGAAAAGTTGATACCTTTCAAATTTTTGTTTATCATTATTATAGCCAGTTGGTAATTTTTCAATCCATTTTCGTATTGTTGGAAAAAGTACAGGTTTTGTATAAAGTTTTGATGAATCATTTACTTCACTAGGGAATAAACGTAGCATAGTTTCTCGAGTTGGTAAACTATGCAATCTAGCCACTTGTTCAATTATCAATCTTGATTTATAGAAAGAAAAAAAGAAACAAGTAAAATTCAGATAAAAAAGAAGCAAAAATTGTATAATCAGAAAGGGGTTTTGTGGATATTATAGTAATTTAATGGTTGAATTCATGAATCAATTGAAGCTAGACCACCATGGAAAACCTGGAAGGAGTGGACGGCCATTTCGTCCTAGTATGGGACTCCTAGGTGGCAGTGCGTATCAACGATCCTATTTCGCAAGATCCGAACCCAGGACTCATCAGTCTCGTGGATTGGTTGAAGTTAGACATTATCATCGTTGGATGCCGGCCGGCTCAGTGGTCTAATGGTTAAGCGCTCGTGTGCAAGACCGATTGGTCCTTGGTTAGGATCTAGCGAGGTGGGATCGTGAATGAGCACTGCCACTGAGGAGTCCCATACTGGGACGAGACGCCTGTTTATTGCTTCCAGGTTTTCAATAGTGATCTAGCTTGAATTGACTCATGAATTCAATCACTAAAAATTGTATAGATAAATTTACATTGGAGCATATTACGATAAAATAAAATAAATATATTAAAAACCAAAGTGTATGATAAGTCTTATAGCTGAAAGCTTGGTTCGATTTCCCAGCCGCTTCTGATAACCCAAGGTTAAATCTACATGGTAAAGTGGACACAAGAGAAAAGGCGTGAATTGCGTATGGAACGATTTACTTCAACGTTAGTTTATATACAGAAAAAAACGAGGGTAATTATAGTATTACAGAAAGGCCTTGGGCTACTGGAACGATGCTAAATATATTTGCAGCATGGGTAAATATCTGATCGGATGTTACTGAGAAGCTTCAATTCAGCGCTGACTGGATAAAATGTTTTCGGCGTTTTCTGGGCCCCTATGGACGTTTCCGAGGAATATTTTGGATCTGCTCAAGTGTCAAATACGTTGAATGATAACAAAACCAAGTGGAGGCGAAGTACAAAAAGCTTTAAAGCTTTTATTAACTACATCGCAATCACGAACAGATCTAATTTAGACTAGCATTGAAAACCTGGAAGCACTGGACAGCTGTTTCGTCCTATTGTGGGACTTCTCAGTGGTAGTGCGCATCCACGATCCTGCCTAGCGAAATTTGAACCCAGGAATTATCAGTCTCATGCGCGAACACTTGACCTCTACACCGCTGAGCCGGCCGGTACCCAACGGTGTTAATGTCTAACTCCAATCAATCCAAGAAATTGCGCCACCGTCCACCATTATCTTCAGTGAGTTACTATCTCACAATAGACCCGATTGAACTTCACTGGTTTTCCATGGTCGTCTAGCTTTAATTGACTTATGAATTCAACTACTAAATTATATTATTATTTATCTCTCACACTATTTTGTGTACAATTATTCTGATGATTAATTGCACAATTTCATTTAACGTATAAACTGCATTGAAGTTATTAAAACCGCATAGTAGTCACTGCAACATTAACAAACTTAATCCCCGTACGCTACTATAATTTTAAACGATGTATCTGCCTTAAACTATGTCAGTTGTTTGGATCATTCGTTTAAATATAAAACTGTGTAGAAGCATATGAGAATTTATGGAACAGACTATTCTTCATTCATTAATTTGCATATTTTTAATCTGTAATCCCTGAAAACCTAACCAAAATGTTTTTGTTGGAAAGTTTATTCAATATGTATTAGTATATGCAATAAAAATAAGTGATATCCTATTGATGAAGGTAACTGTTGAGACGGTCGCCGATGAACTCGAGGAAGCTCAGAAAGAGCCGAAGACATTCCATCCAATCATCGTCTGGGAGAACATTCCAGAATGTCGACGTGTAGCTTCTCTATTGGAAAAGTGCTGAATACCACTGCAGGCGGATTGAATAATGATTTCATTTTTACCAAAAACTATAAACATTCAAGTGTTTTATACCACATTTGACACAGGTTGGAATATAATTCCTTACCATTTGCCTCCTGTATTTTTACTTCCGACTTGAACGGTTCAAGTGTTCTGGTGCTGAAGTGGTACGTGGTATAGCTAAAATTCAAGTCCTAGAAATAACACTAAAAAACTTCAACTCTTATGTTTCCTATCAGGAATTCGTTTAGTGTACACAGAAACAAGTCAATGTTTGTTTAGAGAAAAAAATTAATAAGGGTTGGTCAACAAACAAAGAATCGAAACAACCTAACTATACACAATAGAAGTGGTAGCTTTCCATATCACAAATTTAAGTACATCAATTCTGTTACTGTTCGATTCGTTGTACAAAAACAAACTTGGTCACCAAATTGCCCTGGTATGGCCGAGAGTAGGGTGGGCCCGTCCTCGCTCTCAAAATGTTCTCACACAGCCACGCGTATACAGCCTCTGACAGGGAAGTCCTACTCACTGCCTTCACGCACCACGGGTGTTGTTTACGAAATTCAGAGGATGAAAAGCGAATGTCCGGTGCTTTAACCGGATTCCAAACCAATGGTGCACATAGGCTCCAGTATCCTGAAGGAACAAATGGCGCATGAATCAATCGTTGGTCACCGGCTACCATGGGACTGCATCTCCTCACGATGCTCCACTGCCTTGTGGGTCAGACCTTTAGGTCAAAGGCTCGGGGTGTGATCCCCCAAGAAAACCACCTGCTTCGGTCTGGGCACCCGAGCAGTATCACAGCCCTCACACATAGCGAATGAGATTTGTGTGGCGCATATGTATTTGGTGCATCCTTGTACCAATATCTATGTGCTAAAATCAATCAAATCAAATCGAATGGCCACCAAATTATAAATATAAGTGGGATATATTAAGATTAAGTATAGTGTCAGTGACATATCAAATAATAAACAGAGGTGGTTAAGCAAATTCTATTGAAACATTAAATAAACCATCTAGGTTCTAACATGTAAATAGGTCAATTAAGGTCAATACAAAAAGTTATGACGTGATTTGAACTATTGACTTTTGAGTAGTCTGTACCATATTTTATTGATATCATAATCTAATGATTGTATATATCTTTCTGACTTGAAAGTGTAGTACATAATCGATAAGCAAATATGAATTAAGTGTTCTTAAGACAGTACGGATATATTTCTTCTATATTGATCTACTACAAACCTAACATTATTGACGAGTACTAACAAACAGCGTAGAATTTCTACTAGAGATTTCTGGAAATGTATATTAGAGCGCATACACATACCCTCTCTCTCTCTCACACACACACACATACACGCAATATTGACATGTAATTCTTCTGTGAAACTATTGGATTTATTACAAAATTTGTTCAATTGATTTCGACCATTAAGAAAGATTTCAGTGATACGACTAACTCTTCTGTGACATGAATAATACACTTCATTAAAATTTAAAAAAATAGTATGGTTAAGACAATGTTCACTAATGTACTATTTATTTAGTGTATTTGACACTGTATAAGTTAACCTATATTGATATAATTTTAATAATTGAGATTATGAGTCAATTGAAGCTACACCACCATGGAAAACCTGGAAGCACTCAAAGGCCGTTTCGTTTTATTGTAGGACTCCTCCTCAGTGGTGCGCATCCACGATCTCGCATAAAAAGATTCAAACCCAGGACCTATCAGTCTCGCGCCAGGCGCTTAACCAATTAGACCACTGGGCCGGCATCCAACTGTGTTCATGTCTAACTTGAACTAATCGACGAAATTGAGCGACACATCCACCATTGTCATCAGTGAGTTATTATCTCACAACAGACCCGGTTGAACTCCACTGGTCACTGCTTCTCACTGGAACTCCAGGAAATACCTCTTGAAGCCAGTCACTAATGAGCATATGTTGATTAATATCAGAAGGGGTTTTTGTGGATATTATAGCTTCAATTGACTCATGATCTCAACTATTAAAATTATTGTAATATCCACAAAAACCCCTTCTGTACTGATATAGTCAATAATGTTTCATGTATTTATGCAGTTTCTTCCAGAGTTACCATAATCATGGGTTGTTATTATTATAATTTATCAACTCTTATAAGAGAGTTCTGTCAGAGTGTGATCAACTGACACGTCCGACACATAGATGCAACAATCAATTCCTAATACACCTACTTGATGACTATCAAGATGTGGCATGCATACTTGGGCTACCATACACTAGGACTTAACTCTACTTTCATTATAATTGACTGATTGATAGATATCATCCTTTCAGTCGACTAATTTCAGAAATCGTCTTATCAATGTGACTTTTTTTCTTAGGAAATCCATTATTTCCCCCCCCCCTCAAAAAAAGATGTGGATATGATCAGTTAACAATTAAGGTTCTGGATTATGTAACTACTGAGTTACTTTTTAAACCCAGTGTCCTAAACTTAAAACCTGAATCAATCATTCACAAGGATACGTTTTTTTAAAAAAATGCCATAAATCTTATGCCATTTTATTGCTTGTTTTAACGTTCTACGAGATGATTCACTGGAGAGACTAATCGAGTGAATTATATACTGCATACAACAACACATCGATTAATTCTACTGGATACTTGAATTGGATAGGAAGAAATGAAAACCACGGAGAGATAGACACACAGACACAATGTAAACCATGCGCACGAAAAAAAATCTAGTAAAGAAAGTTGCCCTTTCCGCTCCCCCTCACACTTTACTGAGACAGAAAATCAATAAACATGAGAATATTTAGAAACACAAATGGGAAATGGGGAAACAAATTATCGATCTTAAGTAATATTGTTCAAGATATAGAAGAGGAAAACGAGTTAATATATATACTAGCTTTGTTATAATCCATTTTAAGCTTTATCATCCTGCGTAACTAGAAAATCAAGAGTAAGTCCAGTTACAGATAATGCATAAAACCTAAATAATAACATCAAAATATTAAAGAAAGTTAGTGAATGCCTGCAACAAAGTAGGGTTTACTGGTCCAAATTACGTTGTTTAGTACCTCCACTGACCAATATATCATTATGGTTATTTACCGAAGAAGTTTTCTTGATGGAGTGTAGAATACAATTAGTGTGACAAACAGGCTAATAGTAATAACTTGATTATTACGTACGAAATGAATCATCAATTTGGCTCTCCAACAACATTGGCCAATCAATCATTCATAACGGAGCTACAGTCATTTTCTCCCTATCATCGTTATCTTCAGTCTTAATATCTTATCTAATTATTTAGACAATTTTGTCAAGTTAATGTGTATAATTTCTTTATCCAAATGATAAGCTCTAAACCAAATAAAAATTCCTATATGATGTTCACGAAACAGGTTCTGTACAAAATAATTTCAATGATACATGACTTCACCCTGGGAACCGATGTCAAGTTGATGAAGCCAACATAAAATCTGAGAGAAATCCCAATTAATCCAAATAATCACATTACAACCAGACGAAATTAACAATATGAACAGAATAGGAGTCGAGTCAAAAGCCGTGTTTACGAGTAAAAAAACCAAATAGAGAAAACGATTCGGAAAACGGAATAAATATGAAGAACAAAACTGAATTTACAGATGGACTATTATTGGATACAAAGATTACTTTCTTATATTTACCACACCTGAACCAATCACCAGGATGAGACTTAAACGATTTACATTTATAAAATAGGTCTTTGAAAGGGTCATAAACTATAACGATTTTACAGAGTTCTCTGGGTTAGATGGTTTAATGGCGCAATTTTAATGATCTTGATTAACATTCAGTCAGTCAGTTAAAACGTAGGACAAGGCACATATATCCATCACTCCAAGTTACCATACCTCATTAGCACAAAAACATGAACACCGGATTCATAAAAGTAGTTAATTCAGAGGTGGTAATATATAAAAGAAAGATTACATATAAGGATATTGTACAGGAAGAAAGAATTAGTTGGTAGAAAGAAAGATATGAAGCAATTTTAATCTCTTAGTTTAAGGGAAAACAGAGAGTGTATACACCGACGCCATTTCGATCATTTCCGAGACATGTCACCAAGAGTCTCCAAACATTGGTTACGATAGTCGCGCGGACCCCAACCAACTAGTCTGTATCTACCAACATGGCTCAGACCAGAAGTTAGTGACTTCAAGCACTGATGCCACGTTTTGGTTTGGCCGCCCCTAACTTTCTTCCAACCACTTCCAACACTAGACAGCATTGTGCGTCATTGTAATCGGTGTTCAAGCGTACGCAACATGTGACCCAACCATTTCAGTCGATGAAGATCTACAGTGTCATCAAATGACTTACCATCATTCTACAATACCCTGTGTCTAACCTCACTATTACTTATCCGGTGATCACAGCAGACGCCAGCAATACTTCTAAGACATCTGTGGTCGAATACTAGTAGCTTACGAATACTTCCAACAGCACTCAAGACCACTGTATTGGTTTCTGAACATTATCAGCAGTTAATTCGCCTAGAACTAAGCTAAAAGATAGAATCATAGTTGAGAAGTTTTCAATAGTATATTCTAGGAAACAATTTATACACAGATTTTATATACTAAGAATATTCAGTTTCCAGACATATGAGTCATCGACAATTCGGTACTTATCTATGACAGAGATTGTATTATAGAATATTTAGGAATATATCTATTCTATACTAACGAGTAAATGTTATTAGTGGTAGGAGTATATGTTTCCCTGTTCCCATTAAAGATATATCTTAATTACAGGTTAATGAATCTAATCTATAATATTTGTATATTTTAAAAACATAAATCAATAAAAAATACGCTAAGGTAAAGGATGACAATAGAGGAATTAGTTCTTCTAGTTTTGCTGAAACAAAAGTGCCTGTTCGTTGCTGCAAAGCGTTCCTGCATTGTAGCTAATTTCAGTACGCGATATAAACCTAATCCTAACTTCTTATCTTAACTCCTGACTTGAATTTCTAACACGAATTCTGATGTCATATGGTTAATTTCAAAATTGTTTGATTTTGTCCCTTATACTACAGTTTCATTGAAATTTTAAATTAACTCAGATTAACAACCCTCATCATCGATGAACAAGGAGGTTCAGATGCAGACGTAAAGGCAAGGATTGGCAAAGCAAAGGCCGCATTCCTACCATTGAAGAACACATGGAACTCAAAACAACTTTCAACCAATATCAAATTCACAATCTTCAATACGAACGTCAAGACACTTCTACTGTACGGAGCTGAAACTTGGAGAACTACAACAACCATCATCAAGAAGGTACAGGTATCTATAAACAGTTGTCCACGCAAGATACTCAACATCCATTGGTTGGATACCATCAGCAACAGCCTACTCTGGGAAAAAACAATCCAGCTTCTAGTCGCAGAGAAAATTAGGAAAAGAGGATGGAAATGGATAGGACATACATTACGCAAATCATCAAACTGCATCACGAGGCAAGCCATAACTTGGAATCCTGAAGCGGAGGGGAAAAGGGGAAGGCCAAGGAACACGTCACGTTGGATAATAGAAGCAGATATGAAAGGGATGAATAACAACTGGAAAGGATTTGTTGGGACAGGGTTGGATGGAGAATGCTGGTGAGCGGCCTATGCTCCTTCACGAGGAGTAACAGGCGTAAGTCAGTAACAACCCTGTTGGCTTGTTAAACAACCGAAAAAGTGTATAATTTCATATTTAGATGCTTTTGTTACATAATAAACCTAAAATAAAGTCTATAGGCTATTTCATTTAAAAATAATACTTATCAAACAATAAACTTACTCGCTATACTTTGGCACTGAAAATTTATCCACACTTATAGTTGATCCTTTAATAAATGAATAAACTAAACCATTTTGAAAAACTGCATATAATTTTTGTTCACCACCAAGTTCATGTAATAAATGCATATGTTTTATTTCATCCCATCTATTCACAATAAAATCGGCTAATCTTGTTCGAATTCTCATAAGAATAGTTTTAGGTTCATCTATTTTATTATCATGATCAAAACGTAGGACTATATTAGATAATCCTTCTTCTAATGGCTAAAAAAAAGAAAATCAATCATTATTATGGTTTCTAATTGACATACTTTCATTTTTGTATATTCTTTTGACCAATTAGGGAAAACGGATTTCAATATTTTCCATATATTTTCTTGATCATTACCATCTAATATACGTATATCCAATATTGGGATACTATCTGGTACGAGAGGAATAACCGTCATCCTGTAATAATCCACGCAATAACAAATGGCCAATATACATAAATGTATATGGAAAGATTTAAATATTTAAATCGTTTGTCATACGATTTGAAGGTCAGATAAAATATGATTGGTTGTATACAATACCAATACTCGCTCTCTGATTGGATGAGAATGACATGAGCTTCACAATATACAAATTTATTTTCACATGACCATGGATAAAGCTTCCATATCATTGGTCAATTGGTTATGCTTTTTATTTATTTATTTTTTTAATTTTTACAGAGGATCGTATCATGTCTGTCTACCAGATAACGATTGAAAATATTTATCGAGTCATCTTTAGAGACCAATCAGATTTACGATTAAAGGTTTTGGATTTTTTGGCGCGAAATTCTTTATCCAAATATCCATCTTGGCATTTTACCTGAGATCAGTTCGTAATGAAAATCCTAAATCTAATCCTTAATCATTCACACCAGTTTAAAACTCTTATTTAGCCCTAATCAGTAGGTGGACATTGCTGACCATTGAAATTTAATACGAACTTGAATTGTATAAAAGTTTGTCCAGAAAACTCTTCTTTTAATTTAATAGATAGAAAAAATAAGTTTAATGTAAATTCTTCTCATTGATCTGTCAGTGATTATCTTAATCAATTGTGATTATAACAAAACGTACGTGAAAAGGTGGTTGGTGATTAGGAACTGTAATAAATACAATCCATACAGTATATTTATTTATTTGCACATATGAATATTGGTACTAAGGAGCACCGAATACATATGCGCCACACAAGTCACTTGATTTATGTGTGGGCTGTGATACTGCTCGAGTGCCCAGGCTGAAACAAATTGTCCTCTTAGGGGATCACACCTCAAGACTTCGACCTGAAGGTCTGATTCACAAGATAGTGGAGCAACGTCAGGAGATGCAGTCTCATGGTAGTCGGTGACTAACAATAGGTTCATACGTTATTTGTTCCCTCAGGATACTGGAGTCCATGTGCACCATTGGTTTGGACTCAGGATTTTCCGACTGCCCTAGGTGGATTCTCTGTGTCAACCAACCCGGTTAAAGCACCGGTCATTCGCTTTTTCTTCCTCCCAATTTCGTAAACAACACTCGTGGTGCGTAAACGCACTGAGTAGGACTTCTCTGGTAGTGGTTGTATGCACGTGGCTATATGAGAGCATTTGGAGAGGGAGAGTTGACTCTCCATACCATCGACCGTACGAGGGCATTTGGGGACAATACATATAGATGACACAATGAAAATAATTATTTATCATAAATATTGAATATGCCCAATTTGCACTAGATGAGTTAACCTATCGGGACTTACTATAGTGAACGAGAAAACAAGCTACGACAATTGAATGTATTTAAATACAAAATTATAGAACATCTTATTAAAATCTGAAAACCATACAGTAAATACTTCATTTGTAAACTGTCAATCAATCATCTCAGACTTCACTGTTCTTTCATTTCCACACTAATCATTCTTTGTTCTCATTCGCTTTTCTTTGTTCTTCTTGCCTTTCTGCCACCAGGTATTTCACTTTCGATTGTTGATACATACTACTTATATCTGTCGACATCAGTAACACACACCACACTTGTACTATTTCTTTTTCCTCCAAGTTATTTATAGAACGTTAATTTCATATGGGATTCATTATTTTATAATTAATCGATTAGGTGTTGCTAGGATTCTCTGGTTTCTTGCTGAGATCTAATAATAAAATTGGACACTTTATCTAGTAAACTGAGAAGCGTAGCAGTAATTTCAAGATGGAAATTTTGCTCAAGCTATTGCTTCCTGAATTATACATCTTATCATTCCCATCTTCGAATTGAACAGAAAGAGCTCTGTCTATTGTAGATACTACTATACATCACATAATAGTTGGCTTTAAGGTATATCGCTCAGGAGATGCAATGGTTCTCTAATGGTCCTATAGGTAATAACGGCTGGCAAACATATAGCTGATTAATGTCCATGTTTAACTCACCAGGTCAGTATCTCAATTCGTGCGAAAAGTTACTAGTCGTTAGGGAAAAAAATCAATAAGGCATACTTGGAACAAACGGTTACTGTTAAATGTTCGTTGAAATAGATTTTCAAAACCTTTTTCTATTTGACTCGGTCCACCTACTTCGATGGTGATGTAGTCTGAAACGATTGTTATGTTTTAATATGTCACTTTACTAAATTTTTCTGTGACTAATCTTTTATATTAATCATAGTTATTGAAAGTTAAGATAGAGACTATAAGCCATGTCATGTGTCAGTTGTGTTCTGCCCAAGTTCTTAACATCCCATTCATTCTAAAAAGTCACTATTATTTATCAACTGAAATTTCATTTATATATATCTGTTCTACCTTCTTGATGAATGTTCTACCTATAAGAGCTACTACTGAGTCTTTAGAAATCTGAAGGATAATGAAATAATCAAAATACACTTTTCAAATCATCCATGAAAGTGATAAGGCAAAGATGAATAGTGGCTAGCAGTGAAATGCAGGATACGTGTTTCGTTCTATTTGAGACTCGTCAGCTAGATATATCTACATCTCAGAGTTGATGTTTTCTCCAAGACTCGAAACAAGTACCACTCACTTCAAACGCCATCACATTATCCACTTAGCTACTGAGTCCTGATAGTCACTTGCTTGTGCAATGAGGTGAAGTTTTAAATTCATTTGATATTGTTTACTTGAATCTTCTTATTGATGTTTTGGACTGCAATTGATCAGTCTCTTATTGACTTGTTAGCCACTATTTATGACTATCACTCAATCAAATGTCTAATCGTACACATTTCTAACTTTAATCATGGTTATCCATCAAATCTTTGTAGGTTACTTACTTATGCCTGTTACCCACATTGGAACATAGACCTCCGACCAGCATTCTCCAACCCATTTTGTCCTGGACCTTCCTTTCTAGTTCTATCCACTTGTTGTGCATTCTTCTCATGTCTATCTCCGTTTCTCAGTGTAATGTATGCTTTGATCTTCCTCTTCTTCCTTGACCTTGAGGATTCTATGTGATGAGGGATTGTCTTGTGACTCAATTGGGTGCTTTTCTCAATGTATGTCCTATCCACTTCCAGCGCTTTTTCCTGACTTCTTCCATCGCTAGGATATGGTTTGTTCTATTCCTACAGAAGACTGAAATCGTTGTAAGTATTACTTATAAATATAGAAATTGAAAGTTAAATTCCTTTTCTAAATTAGATCTATTCAATTCATCCTTATCGTACCATATTCAATGATGATGATTAACCTTTGAATAGATTGTATGGTATTTTCTTTTTTGCTATTAAAAGTCTCCATGATATAAGTTGCAATATAGAAAAATTGTTATCTTTAATGAATGAATTAATTAATTTCATAGAATCATATTTAGTAGGTTTAAATGAACTGATTGAATACAGTAATCACTACAGTTCAATTGTGTTATGTCCTTTTGCTCCGGTAATTTATCATACGACCGGGATTGTCAATAGAATACTAACCTATATAATTAGATTAATGATAAATAAACTAGTTTAAGAGGCCTAGAGTCAACTTCAAGTTGTTATTAGTTGTATGAGATAGTAACTTCTTGTCTAATCCAGTAGGTTCAGTCTATAATATCAATGTTAGACTTCGATATAAGAATCAGATATTTCAAACATACTTGGTTCACATATACAAAGAAATGAGACCGCATCATTCATTTCTGTTGGTTGCTTTTGAGTGTTCTCAAGGGCTATTGTCATTGGGACATTTTAAGGTGGTAGGTCGCGATTGATAACATTAACGAGTTTGACTGTTGTGTAGGCGGAATAGATCGACGTTGGCTTATTCATGCTGTGCATAGTTGATTCACGCGATCATTGATCAGAATAACTATATATGTAATGTGAATGTGTATATAAATGGCGCGAATGGTCCACCAGAGTGTTTGGTACCTGTGTGGTTACGCCAAGGGATTGAGCTGTACTATTCAGATTGTAGCGTTAAAGCCTAGATGGTGTGTAGTTCTGCTGTGAAGCGGGATTGAGCTGTGCTGTTCGGGTTATAAGCTTTTAGCCTAGATAGTGTCTGGTTCTCCTGGAACCGGGATTGAGCCGTACTATTCGGGCTACAAATTTTAATCCTGGCGGTGTATGGCTCTCCTGTTAAACGGGATTGAGCTGTACTGTTTGGGTTGTCAGGTGAATGTCTGGATGATGTCTGGTTCTCTCGAAAACCGATGACAAATTACCCTGGCCCACAATGGTATATTTTATGGTTTGTATACAAACAAATGAGACTGCATCAAATCATAAAGTGCAAAGTGATAATTATACAAGACCAAGCCAAAAAGCGGCTGTGACTGTGAGAGACTGTAATCAATTGACTGGGCATAAGTCAGGAATAGTAAGTCATAGATTAATAGCTGATAGGTCTAATGGAAGCTTATAATAAAAGGAATATGAATATATATATGACATAGTTACTTAATGCTTATCTAATAAGAATATATGCGATAATAGTCTGTAAATAGATCCTAGTAGTTACCATTCATTGATTCTTTGTTAGAATATGACAAATTTCTTTTAAAGTAAACAAATAACTCAATGGAATGATTTCATTTGCTGAGAAACATTGAGGTCAGGAAGTAATTGATACTTAACTGTCATTATTCTTTCTTGCTGAGCTGCATCACAATATACTGTTCAGCTTGGAAATGGATAAGAAGTATATATTCAATACGCTTTTCTGGACTTTACTTCTGCTTTTGATTCTATCTTAAGACAACTTTTACTTAACAAGTTAATCAACATCAACATTGACAGCTGGATAACCAATTGGCTTTTTTCGTACCTCTCTGAAAGAGGACAGTACACTGTATTTAGATGGAAGCGTTCAACGTCTCTACTGTTTCAGGAAGGTGAGCAACAAGGAGCTGTTCTTTGTTCCCTCCTCTTTTCTCTTTTTTTTTCTACATGATCTGCCGTCTTCCACAGAAAGCACTTTTGTGAAATAGGCGGATGATCTCACTGTATGTTTGCCAAT